GAAAGGTAATTAAAAACGATGACTTCTGTAGTTCGGAAACGTGGACGGAATAATTGAATAATTGGTTGTTAAACACGAGCGTTTATTTGGAATAAATAACGTGTGGCGGTAAAGCTTGAGGATGAACCGGAGACAAAGAGAGGAAACACGATCGGTCGTTTAATAACTCGTCGATTTCATCGTGGAACTTATCGTAAATAATTATTGTTTTCGCCGTATTCAAATACTATCAAACAATATTCATGCGATACCGTCGTCATAGAAAGCAGCCGTACGGCGGTATTCGGAATTGGTTTTTTTAGTTTTTTTTCGCAATCCCGCATCTCGCGAAACGCTTTTTTTCGCCGCGTACACTTCCAGCACGTCGATTTTCAAGATCCTGCGGTGAAAATGCCGCGCGTACGGAATAATACATCACGAGCGACGATCGGATCTAATGATACACAACTCACGTCAATGGATTTGCTGTTGAACAAGTCGTCCAGCGTCCACATGTGTACAACGCTGTTGAACGCGGAAGACATTAAAGTGTTTAAAGTACGTTTACAATACGCGCGTGCAAACTACACGAAATTCTTACATGGAACCAAACGTTATTATAAAATTATTATTACACAATTACGAACCGCTCGAGTAACATTTGTGTTTTGTTAAACTACTAACGACCCGATGCCGTGTATAATTATAATGAGTAAGTTTATAACGACGTGTAGCACCTGAATCGTTCAAACGCCAATTGGGTGATGTATCGAATAAATTGCGTCAATGCGCTATCACGATCTACGTATTTCTATTATTTTAATTACACCGCGCTCTCCCGACAATTTCGGTTAACTATCGGATACACTCATGCGATTTAACAACCAAAACATTGCAAACTAAGAATAACACTGCGTGTGTACAATTTTGTTCTTCAAAGTTCAGCATTATCGTAGTATATCATTGTACACCTGAATAAATATTACTTTATGAGATCGAATTAGCAAAAATAACTTTTTTATAAACCATAAACGATATAATAAAATAAATAACTACAAAATCCTATTGAAATCTGTTGATGAGTTAACCAAGGTTACGAAACAACGATGGACAGTGTAGTTTCTTGTGTGTTAATAGGTTTGATTTTGTGGCGATTTAAAATTACATTACAATATATACCTATAGTATTTTCAAGTTCCAGAATGAAGACAGCGGTTTAAAGTTTTGACATTTTTTCTTAATTATTAGTAAATATAAAAAGTCAAACACAAGTATTTTAATACCGATCATCAGAATACATGTTAACATTTCAGTTTTAGTCACACAATGGTACTCACATTCGGAATTCATTTATATATTCATTATATGAATGCTCTGTGTTCATATAGACGTGGTTTGGGAGTAGCTGAGTATTTGCTTGTATAGTACCCCCAAAATGTTTTCGTGTTAAAATATTAAAATTAGAGTACCAGTATTTTATTGGTTCAGGCCCGTCGTAAGATATTTTCCTCACAAAAGCAAAAATTGCACTGCCGTTTTTTACTAAAAACATTATAAATCGGAATTATAATATGCTGTAATCATTCACATCCACGACGAACTTAGTGGAACTAATACGATGGTAATAAAGACGCATAACGCATAACTCAAAAGCAACGCATGACTTGCTCGCGCTCTAGATAGGTTCATATTATATAAGTTATAATATGTTAGAGGTATTTCGATTTCCGAACTACTCTCCCTGGGTTTTCTTGTACTGAAATCACTAACCTAACCAACCTAACCTAACCTAACCTAACCCCCCCCCCAGCAAACTGTATTATTAAAATTATTACATTTTTACCGCTACCATGATAAAATCATATACGTTGCAAATGGTTATACTTTACTTTCAAATGTTAATGACTGTACGGTTTAAGGATATGAACGATTGTGCGATACTGCAGACAGAATCGGAGAGAAGCTCGAAGTCGTTAATGACGCCCGTCTACTCGGATACATCATCACTGTACGAAGACGAAAACGAATCGTGTGAATTTGCCTCCGACGATTTCGGGCCGACCAAGATGAGATTTATCGTCATCGTTATTGCGTCTGTCGCGTTCTTTTTTCAGGTAAAAACCTGTAAACGCACATTAGTCCTGCAACACGGCTATTGAGTGCAGCATGTATAATATACATATATATTATAATAACATATACTGCACTCGTGTACGACAGTGTGTACGCCTCTGTATGCGTTAATGTAATTTAGCCGACGCGACGACGTATTTTACGATCTAATAATTACTGTGCACCAAACACGTTTTAGAACAACATGGTTTTCACATATTTTTTTGTCCCGTACCCGATTTAATATACACCTATAACGAATTATATGCAGGTAGTAATCGGATGTTGGCAATCATACGCGCCGATACACGCAGGAGTGTTTATATGGTTCGATTAGAAATTACGTGACACGCGAATAGATAAAAACTATAAGAAATACAAAAACAAACCATACTTAGTTTCCAACCCGGCGGTAAAGATATGTTTTTCGAATGTTATCATAAGAGTGGGGATAGGCTTAGTATAGAAAAATAAATCTTAGATGACATACGAGTAGTATTAATCTATTAATCATTTGGTGTTTGAAACCAACAAATGCATATTTGTATTTATTAAACGAATAACTTTGACAATCTTAAAAAGAATCCATTATGAATACGATAGCAGTTACACTACATGGTTTTATCTTTTATTTTTGGGAAAGGTTTACTGTGACTGACTAATTTGTGGTACAGGTGTTCAAGACCACAGTTTCGAAGCATACTAAGCATATCTGTGAGCTGATTTATTTTCGAAATTCGGTAGCGATAGTGAAAACATTTCAATAAAACAAAAATATATCAACTACTTGTAGGTATTCAGTATATTAATGTATAATATTCAGTGCTACTATTATAGCATTATTATACAGGAAAAAAGCGACGAAAAGGTCAGAACTCCATCATCAAATACGCTTCTACGTCTCGTAGCTATAGCAATATATCTTGCACTGCACTGAACAATATATTTTTGCTTGGTAGAGATTGAGGTTAGGACGGCATATTAGTGAGGGCCTATATGACGGAACTCGTGTCGAATCGAGCTCCAATGCTTATATTTGATAATTGATTTGATATAATTTATCAACACGCGTGTTAACCGTCTGCAGATATTTTCACAAACCATTTGGAGCGCCATTTACGAGCCGGCACTGTTGGCTTTTCCGAAGTGGACTAGCAGATCGTTGACGCTATTGCCCATCTGGGGTAGCGTGATGACCGCGGTACTAGTATTCCCGACATGCATGATCATCAACAAATACGGTACGTACGGACGATAAGTTCTACGATCGTTTTCCAAAAGTACCGCACGGTCGACGTCGTTTCAAAGCATTTTCGCGAAACCACCACTGCAGCAATAATGATCGTCATGAATATTGACGACGTAAATTAATCCCGTGTCACCGCCCACAGGTCTGAAAGTGAGCCTGTTGTGTTCATGTGGTTTCTTCACACTGGGAACGGCCGTTCGATGTCTGCCGAACGTGTACTCGTCCACGCTGTGAGTGTATTATTTCCGAAGACGTGTCGCCGACCAACCATTACGCATAACACATTACTATAATCGTAGTGCCGTGGAATTACACGGCGGCGAGCCGTCTAAAATGTATGGCGTACTAACCAGTGGCGCGCGTTTAAACATTTCGAGCCCAAAGACGGCAATTTATACCGGTCCCATTCGCCGCCGTCGTATTAAATTTTAAACAATTTATACATGTACCATAACCACAACTAGTAATAATACGATTTTACGACCGAACCGTAATTTGAATTTTGTTGTAAAGTATGTCCCACAATATTTTGCCGCCTCTAAAATGTCGGCGCCCCGAGCCCGTTAGCCCCCTTACCTTTTTATCGGGTCTCGATTCGGACTATTTTTGATACATTGAATTTCGCAAAAAAAAGCAATACGTTTCAAAATATACACCGTTCTGCTGTCTTTTTTCATTTAAATAAAAGTTACCTACTTAGAGTTTCGCGTACACCTTAACAAGTTTAACTTGTCGAGTAATTTTAATGCATTGTAATGTATGACGATGTATTTATGAGAGAAAACACTTGGTTTCTATTCGAGACAAATTTTACGATAATTAATCTTAATTAATTATCTATAATAATCATAATATACATATATATATATATATATATATATATACATGAGGAAAAAAAGCAGTAAAAATGTGTAAGAAAATGAACGTTGAAGGGAAAAGAGAAAGAAGAAGACCAAAAAACAGATATTGGACATGACTGAAAATTATGAGGACTGTTGGTGTGTGTAGGGGATGTAGAAAATCGAGACTAGTGGAATTTTAGGACAAGGGAGGCCGACTCCAAATAGATGGGAGAAAGGCGAAGGAGAGAAGAAGGATCATAACTTATAACGGTTGATGTGAACCGTTTTTATTTGCGCGACTGAAGTTTTTCATTCTCAATAACATATATTGCATATTTCTGAAACGAAACGTTTTAAATAAACTTGATTCTAAATTTTTTTCGCCATCGCCTGTATTGTTTTCGCGTACAGTATGTCGAACTCACACGCAATATTCGCTGTTGCAATGCCAATAATTCTAGAACGATTTATGTCTACGTTCGCGCATGTTGATGGTGTTTAAAACGTATTTAGTCGCGCGATAGCGATAACCACGATCGACGCAATCGGAGAGTACGTATTATTATAATATTTTATGGCTGTTGAACGTGTGCGATTCTCGACGAGTTATACGCACAATACCGATTACCGCATTTACGATTTACGTATGTAGTTATATTGCCGCAGCACGGTCGAGCGTTTAACCTGCATGACGGACACACCTATACTTATGACGCTTATACTTATGTGTATAAGTATGTATATGACTTATATTTATGCGCGCGACACCGTACTGTTATTATGGTTATAAAAATAATAACCTCGAATGGTTGTAAAAATCGATCCTCTCGGTGTGCCCTACGTCCGAGGGTACCATGCTATAAACGCCGCCGTGTCCCGTAACGTCCGCTCGAGATCGTCGTCATAATCATTAGTTTACGATTTTTTTTTCCGCGTGTAGGTGTATACACTTGTCGGCCGTATACATGTCTGCAGGTGGCGTGTTCATGACGCCCCTGATGATAACGATTTCAGCGCAGTGGTTCCCGAAGAACGAGAGGAACATGGCTACAGGTCGGAAACGAGTAGTGTTCGCGCTACATTATTGTTAATTTTTTTTTTTCTACTACCATACGAACCGTGTTGCCGCACGTACGAAACAGTGCTCCGGGCATAGGCATCACTAAGGGGTATTGAGGGGTATCTTTTCTACCCCAAAAAAAGTTATAGATTTTAAAAATATATTCGAAGTTATTATTCAAGTGTGTACGCACATCTATTATTGTGATTGTATCAGAAATAATTATATTTTGTAATAAGTCCAATACGGACAATAAAACAGTGTTATACACTACACGTCGTACCAAAATTTATGAAAAAGAGTTAGCCAGTTAAGCCAGTAAGCCAGTTATCATGTTAAATCTTTAAAAATGTATTTTTTAATTTTCTAAAAATAAACTTTGCTACCGCAAAATTTGGACTTAAGTGGCGCCCATGGCACCGGAGGCGGGGTAGGCGGGCTAACACTACTCGCCTCGAACTTGGGCGTACCCCGCTACAGGGTCTCGGAGATTTTCACTGTAATCGTACGCGTTGAAAAACCGCGACCGCTTCACGTGCGTCTGCAAGTTGTGTAACGTCATCGCCGTCGCGTGTTCGCACACAGGTTTCTGCTCGGCCGTGGCGATGTTGGGATCCGCGGCCACGTACATAGTCGGTCCGATCGTCGTGTCGTCGAGCCCGGGCGAGCCGCCGGAGCCGCGTGCGATACGAGATCGAATCATGAGGCTGCTTTACGTTTGTAAAAAAAAATACGACGCGCGTTCCGTTTGACACTTGTTGTAAATCGTACGCGAACACGCGTTTTGCACAGGTTTCGGCATCAGCGTGTTCGTCACGGTGTTGGTGTTGGCGGCCTTTCCGAAGCACATTAAACCGGTGAGCTACCCGTCGAAACTTTCTATGGCCTCGCACCGCAGTGCCAAACTGATGCACTCGCTCACCGTGCTCGTCAAGTCCGTACATCAACGAACGATATTTTACGCCCACGGCGAATGTAACGTACGACCACTAAAATGTTTTTTTCTCTCCTCCCCATGCGCAGGAATTCCGAAGTCTGGTACCTGGTACTGGCGTTCGCCCTGTCTAACACCATGTCGGCTCCATGGTCCGCGCTGCTGCCGTCCACTTTTTCCAAGCTCCATGTGCCGCCCGTAATACAACGCACACCGCGTACGATTTTCATTTTTACATATTTTAACATTTTTTTTTTTTTTTATTTTCTTGTGACCCCCGCTATCGTACAAGGAACTCAGCGCCGAATGCGGTTTGTTTTTGATCATTCACAATTTCGCCTTAAGCCTAACGATAAGCACGTTCGCCGATCGGGCCCCGGGCTACAGCAAGGAACTCGCCCTGATCAGTCGTCTGGTGTCGTTGGTTTTCTTGTTCTGGCTCATGCTCATGATGAACTTTCACGCCAAGCTCACGACCAGTAAGTATACATATATCGCTGTAATAATAGCCGACTTCTCGGCATCGCAAACACGATTAATTCGTTTTGACCGTAGCACGATTTTCGTGTAGAACGATAGTACAAATTCATATACGAGGAATTGCAGTTTTGAATTCGGGGTGGTGCCGAAAATATTTGTAAAAACAAACTTCTAACCTCGTGTTCTTTTCACAGCGACTCTGGTCTGCGTGATCTTGATGGCGTTCCCGTACTGTTGGTGTAACCAGAGTCTTCTCTACGAAATGGGCGCAGAATTAATGGTCCCGTTGCCCGAGAGCTTTGTCGCGGGCTACATGACGTTGTTAAACAACTTGTTCGTGGACTGTACATACGTAGTGTTGTATTTGTTTCCTCATTTCGGTAACAATTTTCATTATTATTCAACCGCAATAACTATTACGATACTCGTACAACCGGGGAGAATACATGTTAATACATATGATTGATATTTATCCATTAGTTCATTGAAATGTGCGTCATTTCATAATATGTATAATTGTATGTATGTATGCGATATTAATTCAAAAATACTAATACTAATCAGTAAGAAAATCGTCGCTGTTTATAGTAATAACCATTATGGGTTAATTATATATGATTATATTATATTATGTAGGCGAGCATATTACGCAGGGAAAGAATGTTGTTTTTGGTAGATTGTTTTAATAAAAATGCGTATGTTGGTTTCTCCGAGAAATATTCGAGCAACTGTAAGGATACGCGCATAATCCGAAAAGTCCGGAACCAGAAAACATAATGTTATCCTATGATTTGTATGTCGTAAAAAAATTATGAAACGCCCGCGGTAATTTCATTTTTAATTTATTTTAATTCAATTATATATATTTTTCATTTAATTTAACCTGTCATTCGGTTTGTTTTCGAAAAAACAGCCGGTGGCATAAGTTTTAATAAAACGCTGTACACTGTTGAAAAACTGTTCCCAGTTTAACAGCTTAGTAAATCTTAGTAAAGTAAAATGAAATTACCGACAATTATTTATTCGTATGGCATATACAGAAAGCGAAACAGAATATAATATTGACAAGTGGTGAGACGCGATGTATTTAGCGACAATAAAAATAGCAGAACGAGTATAAAAGTGTAAAAAATATAATAGTATAATAGTTTTAGTATAATAGTTTTAGTATAAAATTTATAACATAATGTCCAGACTTTTTACCCATTCGATAGCTTCAGGGGTCGCGTTAAATATGTCCTCGAACTATCTCGTAAGACACACATGTATAATATGGTTTGATTGGGGGCATCGCAGTCACATCCTGGGTTAGGGGTGATGCCCCCCTTTGTGCATAAGATATCCCACTCTTCCATGACCTGTACGTAATCGGTTTAACCGTTTAACCGACAGTTAAACGCTATCGGTACTCGTTTTCTCCGAACAGTAGATTATCGGTGCACCGTTTTTATCTTCCCGCAGGCGACTATTGGCTGCACATCGGCGTTTTCGTGTTTTCGGTGCTGAGCATAATCTTCTTGCTGCTCACCACGGGATGGAGCAAGAAGGACACGGCGAAAACCAAGCACGGCCACGTGTAACGCACGCACGTATTATAAATATGTTCGTTATTGTACTATCCGTACGTTATGTTATGATAAAATTATATATCACTTGTATCACTTGTGCATTCGCAGTTGTGTTCCTTAAAACCGTCGACACAAAAGATACCTCTGCGGGAATACCTACCCGCGTACATGTTATAACATGATATAATAATAATGATTCGGATCACTTCGACGTAGGTATATCTGGTGCACACATCTGTATAACATAATATATTGGCCGTATCGATGCGCACACGTGCACAACAATGCCGGGAAGAGCCGCGCGCGGTACGAATACATTTGTTTGGCATCGCGCGCGCGTTAACCTCTGTACAATAACGCCGTACGCTCCGGCGTGCACTCGCGTCGTCCTCCGTACCCCGGGCGGCTAGTCGCATAATAACATAATATGTGCGCGAGATGTTTACGTCTTGTTATACCGGGCCGTTGCAATAAATATATCGATACCGCGACGCGCACAATAGAGACACGACGTCTTCTCCGGGGCGCAGAAGGAGCGAGAGCCCGATCTACAGGAATATAATGCTTGAATTTATACTAGCATACATTTACGAGCGTATACGTGCACGGGACACATCGCAGACCGTTTAGGGAGGTCGCGCGGACAAAGGCGACGTCGCCGCGTGGGAGCGATCGATCAAGACGGCGAACCATACGGTCGATTTATTCGAGTATTATTCTACAGAGATGACGTGTGCGTGTGCGCGCGTGTACCTACACAGGTATATACGTACTCGGTGACTTCTTAACAAGTAGCGAACGTGCCTCTACAGACATCCGACCACGAGCGTCCCTGCTGATTCTCGGGCGACGGGGGTAGAGGACGATCTCCAAAGTCCGTTTCGTTTCTTATGCGCGCATGTTACAACAATACAGGGGCTCACACGACGATCGCAGCGGTGCGCGTATACCCTTTATACTACCTATTGCCATTTATTACCGTACGCACTCGCACGCGAGGTTTTCCTGTGATAAATTTACGCGCGGAAGAGGGCAGCTGATGGACCGAGACCGGATACCGAAGATTATAAGCCGAACGCACACGGACAGCGCACGCCTTTTGTCCGCCGTGACTCCGGCATAGCGACCTGTACGCCCTCGCGTCCGGCACAAGACGCTATTATTGTGTTTTACGCGAATCGGACGTACGAACCGCTTATACCATTGTGCGTTTCACGCGCACACGCACAGGACATGAATTCATCAGGTATTTACACCTAACCTAAGTGCGCACCACTATTATATTGTGTTGCACTCGACCGGTGCGCGACGTTTTCGTTTTGCCGTCGAGATTATGTCCATAACGCGTATTTCGTATATTACGTTCTGTATACCGTGAGCATTACGAGGAACTCCGCTGCCAGTGCACCCGGGATCCGTTTTGTCCGGGGAGGGAACGTGTTATCGTATTGTCGCTCGTTTCCTGCCCGTCGATTCCAATGCAATACAGCAACTCGGTTGGATACATCGTGTAGAATGATCGAAGAATTCGACCGTTTCGGAACGCTGCAGAACTACTCTCGGCCATATAATAATCATCGATCTAAAACGGACATCTCGTTAGTCAACAAAAATAATATCTCCCCCCCCCTATAAAATCGAAACTTTGTTAGAAATTTTATTCGTTGTTTTTATAGTTATCTGTTGGTTTTTTTGAAAATCGCAAAATAAAAAATAATAAAAACTATTTACAATAGCATTAACAATACCAACTACATAGTTTGGCTACTTGCGAAAGAAGTTTCAGTGCAATGAAAAAAATAAAAACTTGGCTAAGGACATTGTTGGTTCATGATAGGTTCAGCGATCTTTCAATACTATATATTAAAAAGATATATCGAAAAATATAAAAAGCAATGATATTATATATATATATAAATATTTATATATTTGCTGATACAAATAGATATTTTTCATTAAATTAAAATATTATTTAATTTAAATATACGCTATTTAGTGTTTTTTTAATACAATTTAAACATATCTATATTTTTAATGATAATAAGTTTTACATGTATATGGAAAGGGGGTGCGAGGGCGAAGCCCCTGCGGGTTATTTTATATTGAATTATTATAGCCCCCCCCCCAAAAAAAAAAAAAAATCAACCAAATGTCCGCCTATGATACCAATGTGTATAAACATGTTGCAATTCCAAACGTAAAATTATTTTAGTCAAATCACCTAATTTTTATTTTCGTTTTTCCTTTATAAATAAAATATTAACTACTAAAATATTATGGACGATGAAAAGTAACATGAAAATAAAATTTTTAATGAATTGATTCAAATTTTAAATTGTCGATAGTTTATTGTAATATGGGGAAAAAAATCGTATGGTATGTGCAATTTAGCTGTTATCGTAACACAGATCTCAACTAATATAAACTTAAAGTTCTTACTAAACAAAACTATGAAAAATATAACATTTTTATAGTATCTAATATTAATTATTTTACTTTTTTTAAACGGAAAACATTTTTAATTTTCTAGTTTAAAATATTTGTTTAATGACGTTGTACAATATAAATATTGATTACAGGATATAGAAATAATTATAATTATAATTTTTAATTTATTCAAATTTAGGGTCAACTCAATAATGGATAAACAGGAAGTACTCTGCAACATGTTTGCGCATTTATTATTACAGTATTATGTAACCGATGATTTTAAATGACATAAAAACATAAAAACCTAAAAATATCGGATTGTAAATATCTCCTCCACACAATATGTAAAAAAAATAAAGTGTATTTTAAATAATTGTATTCAATCAATTGAATCTATACAATAAAAATGTCATCAGTAGACAGCTTATCCACACTAATAAGTTCATGTACATTTTTTATTGTCTTGTTTTATCAAATGATTTACACATTTTATTAGTATTAAATTAAAAACTATATAATATAAATAAATAACGTAAAACATATAAATATAACCAAAAAATAAGTGTTAATTGTTAAATTTGTCACTCTGTATACTTTTCCGTTGAATAAATGTAAATTAAAAAACGTTTGCATTCACAGACATACTCGTATTAATGTACGCTGACGTAACAATATTATAGTCTACCGATCTACTTTATGAAATAAAATTTTATAACGAAGTATGATCATCGGTTATCAAGTATATATTATTGCTGGTACGTATACAAATAAATACCTACAAAACATAGTCTCTGTTATATATATATATATATATAAAAAAACCAATAAACTTTGGAACTGATTATGTATTTATACGTAGACGGTATTGCGCACGGCAAGATTAATTTTTTCATCTATACCACCGTGAATAATATTCGTAATCAGCAGTATCGCGGAGATGACCGATTACAGTATATCAAAAATTAAAAAAAAAAATGACGATTAAATATTGTTTTCAGTGCGTGTTGAAAATTTGCACGTAAATGTTATACGAAGTGCTGGTTTCGTGCAAACATTTGTTCGGACACCCAAACGACCTTAAAATAGGAAATCGTTTTCCGGGGCAACTCAAATATTTACTGTTTTTATGATGATTTTAAACAACCATGTCTTGTAGTTATAATTTAAGAGCATAAGAATATGTTTGGATTAATTGTTTGATCAGAGTAATACGCATATGGTAAATTGTTACAAAAACAACGGAAGACTTCTGTTTCAACAATACTTTCCCAATCAATTAGCGTATTTCATCGTTTACACAATAGCAATTAATATATATACTCTAAACTGTTAATGTATATCCCGTACCCTACACCCACACACAATCGAGTTCACAAAGTACGTGTTGTCTAATGAAGATTGTCACTCGTAATATACATTTTATTTGACCTTATTCAAAAACTCAAATCTCACTTTTACGTTTACTCTGTTCGCTGAGAGAACACAATTGAACGGCCTCCTAAATTCGCCTGTTCTTACACATTCCCATCACTTTTCAGCGCGATCGCTTATACACGTTCACATATCAGTAACTGCGTGGTTGGGAAAATTTGAGTTTGAGACGATAGAGCGAATGTGTTGAAAAGCGGTGGACAAATTGCGTTCTCTCGGAGAACTGAATATATTAAAATGCATATTTATCCTTCATTTACGATATCTGAAAAAAATTAATCTACACAATTAGAACCGTTTAATAAAATATGATTAGGAAGCGAAACCGTTTATTGATCAAAAAAATGTTATGTGGGTTCGCCATTAAACTACATTTTTCTAATTAAAAATAATTGTAACACTCAAATTTCAATATTTAAATTAGTAATAATTTGTTGTGCATTTTAATATACTATAATTTCATTCGACGATGTAAAATATAAAATTGATAACATTAAGAATATTTAAATTTTTTTTTTTTTTACGAATAAACATTAAACAGGTACAAAGTAGTAAACAAGAATATTATGACAAAAAAAAGTGAATTTATACTGTGGAACTAAACTACATTGAATTTAAGCAAACACAAAAAATGAATAGTTATAATTTTTAGTTTATCAATGTTATTTAAAAAATTATATCTATATAATATGAAACAATATTTTAATCACTTGAATATTTAAGATTCTTTTAAAAACATGGAATATTTATTTATAAATGGCAAAATTATCTCAAATATTCGGTATGTAGAGCTATATATACGTATACAACAATTACAATCTAAAACATCTATTTTCCAAAATAATATATACTTTATTGATTTATTGATTTGCTTTAACTCAAAAAAAAATTACTAATTAAATGGTATATAAGAATATAGGAAATACCTTCGTAATTAAATCCCTAAAAAATTAGACCTTGCACTATACACGACTGGAACTGGTATACAATCGTAATGATAGCTTGTATTTGGATAGTTCAATATTTATATTAGTAAGCAATTTTTATTTATCATTTTTTTTTTTTTATTATTTTTTTTTAATAATAATCTATAAATTACATAATAAACAAAGAGATTATCTGCCTTCTAAAAGTATTGCTTGTGTTGAAGGTAGAGAGCGACAAATTACTCACAAATAATAATTAAAATAATATAAATACAAACAAAATAGAATATTACTTAATAGAGTACATAATAACTGCTTGTAAACATATTATATAATTATCCTAAGTACAATCTTAACCAGTTATTAATAGTTATTTTAATATTTTTATGTTTTTTGATTACATTCTTTTTAATAATAACAGGCATTAAATTAAAATAAGTAGGACCCAGCTAGTCCACGAATTCTTGATCAAAAAATTTTTTAAAATATATCATTTTAACATCGTATACTTAAAGTTCCCTTTTTATTTTTCCATTGTTTATAGTTTTTCATTTATGTATATTGCAGTTTTTTTAAATAATAAATCCACAGATAATACATTAAATAGTTTAAAGTTTTGACTTGAACCTTCAAGGGTAGGTTTTTGCAGACATATTCGAACAATTTGTCTTTGTTTGATTAATAAAGGTTTTAGAGCATTAGTAGAAAGGTCTCCCCAAAATTGTAGACCATATTACAATAATGGTTGATATAATCCTAGATATACTGTTCGAACAACATGTATTGATACTACTTTTCGTAATTTATTAAATTAATCACTTATAGTACGTAAATGCATTATTAAATTGTTCATTAATCTAAATCACTACGTACATATATATTACACTGTGACAGTGATGGTCAAAAGAAGAATAATATAGTCAATAGTTCAATCGCGAATAAAGCATAAAACCATATAGGTAAAATGATCCAGCTGCGGCGTTTTTATTTTCGGTAGATTTTGTAAATCGGTAAATCACGCGTAACACCAGTGATACGTCGTTATTTATTACGTACCGTAACACGCATGCACACGCAATTAACATAATTTATATTTCACAACACGCATAATAAACACGGTATAATAATGTTGTTTGTAGGCAATGCCGGTAAAGGTGTATTATGACGTCTTAAACATTTCGTCGGTAAGTCGTCGGTACGAGATGAGCATGATACATCGGAATACCGTGCAAGAGTTTTTATTGTACAACTGTAATAAACGGAGTAAAGACAAGTTTTGTTACACGGAATAAAGCGGGAAAATTCGAACCAGCACCGAATTCTACGGTTTATACGTATAAACGACGTGCGTTCACATAACGTACACCGTACACATTATACGGTGCCCATAAACTGTAATAATATGCAACTCAGGTAAAAAAAAAGTATTATCGCGTACAGAACACCGTACGGCAGCACGTTTGTTAATTAATTTCAGTCAGGCTCGATCTTTGAACATCGTAGATGTATGACGCGTCCCTCTTGTAACTTTTCGACTGATGTACATCACATCACGTACATACATACGTATCCTTATATATTCGTAAAAGGATAGGATTATTTTATGTTCCCATTTTGGAACAACACTATTTAATATTTTTCCAAATTTTTTTTCATGGAGTTGTTCCAAATACCTTCCCGAGTGCACATCGTCCGATTTTTCATTTTTTTTTTTTTTTTTGAGAGGAGGGAGAGGGGGAATTGTATTTAAAGGTTACTGTTTTTTAGCGTACCATTTAAATAATTTAACGGTATTTTTTTTCGCAAGGTTGTACTAAACATTCCTACGAATGATCTACTATTCTCCATTTGATTTTATTCCTCATTTCAGTTAGAATCGTGATTACTATTCTATCTATACAGTTGTTGATAGTGAAGAATCTGTAAATTTTCCTAAAATCACAAACTTCTGATTTGTCTCCTCATAAAATATCATTTAAGGCGGGAGTTCCAATCATATGATGAGAATTTTGAATTTTCTTAGTTTATGTTATATTTTACAAAAAATGTAATTAATTAACAACTGAATCTGAAAATTTGATTGAAAGTGCTAAGGGAGAAAAAATATTTTTACTGAAATTACCATTATGCCACAAAGATTTTTAGTTTAGTTTAGAAGATTTAAATTTTCAATAAAAATTTGTTTTACAAAGACAATAAACAAAACGCAAGGATAGACTATAACTTATTGTGGCGTAGATATGGAAAATAACTATTTCTCACATGGACAATTGTACGTAGCATTTTTTAGAGTTGGAAGACCTGACTATTTATATGTTTATACAATACAAAATAAAACTCTCTTTTTAATACATCGATGTACACGGATAATGTAACCATAACGTATCGTAACATAACAATAATATAACGTACACGTTTTTTTTTATTTTTACTCTTTGCCTCTCGGCGCACATTCGTCCGCAGTAAGTACATAATCGGCGGACCCCGAGGGAAAATAATTCGTATAAATATGCCACTACAGCCTTTTCGTTGACCTGCAACGCCACCGATTATAACAACCGAAAATATTCGAACGAGAATGTTAGCTGCGCCGTCGATCATCAATATATATATATACTTATATTAACGTATGATGATAGTTATAATTTATAATAGTATACCACACGCAGTGGCCGCTCAGAATCTATCACTTCAACGTTGGGATGACGTGTGTAACATAATTATATATACTTTATGTCCAATCCGATTTTGGCCGGACGCGCGTCGAGCAACAAAGAAAATAATAAAATCAAAAACCAAGGGCCACACGTGTTCCGTATACATATTACTTGTGTAAAATGTAAAAAAATATTACGTAATAATATTATTATACCCGTAGCTCGTACGATAGCCATCAGCGACGGCGTAGCTATATCATTCGATAACGTATTGCGATTAACCGAACTCATCAAAACGTCGTATCACGCAACACATGCATAATATTAATGTACCGTAGTGCTCGTGCACGTTTGGGAAATATTATTTTATCAAAACGATACCGCCGGGCGCACGCTTTCGCTCGTCCTTATAGTTTCGGGTGGGTCAAGTACTCGCCGTTGTCGTCTTTGATGATAATAATAGTTAAACTAGCATTTCCACGCAGAGAGAGACATCGACACGAACGCGTGTTGTAGTTATACCGATTGTTAAAGCACTTCGGTGTTTCGAAATATTTAATCGAAACGACACGAACGCGATTACTTTACTGTCAAGTAATATTTCCATAGGTGTTGTCCATGCGATATTGTTTTAATGTTAAATACTGATACTGTATCAGTTATCGCCGAGTTAAAGCGAACGTGTCTTCGGAGTTGGCATTTTCCGTATGAATATATGTTCGAATCGAAAATATAATAACAATAATATTATATTGTCGTTCAATATTAATAATGTATATAAATTTCAATATTATGTAACGGTCTTGCGCATGTTGCGAACATATTTGCACTTTACAGTTCGTATTACGTGTATCGAGAAAAAAGAAACTGACGTAGGCATTTTTTCTATATTCGTCTGATCGTGCAGTACACTTTAGATTTAATGAATTATACAATCTACCGAGTAGTCTGTACGTGTAAAACATCTTGTAACGAAATGCCCCATCTTCGTATGTGGTGTAAATCAAATTATTCCAGCAAAAAAAAAAAAAAAAGAAACTCGTAAACTATATGTATTATTATAACATGGGAATATGGGATAGTCACTATATGGAAATAATTCATCAGGATAACTTTTTTTTTTATTATTACGAATATAATGCACAGTTCATCCTGAAGTTGTTCCAATAACTCAAATACGTTTCAAACGAGTCTAAAAAAGCATAATTCATGTGTTATTTATGTATTTTAGTACGATGTGTGTACGCATACGTAATAATATAACGCAAGCAACAAAAAAGTGTTCGCAGGATTTTAGATTTTTTTTATTTTATTTGATAACAATAAATATTACGCTTCATACATGCACAGTATTCATCTCTAACATATTATATAACATTTGCATTAAGTGCGCAAAATAAGACTGCTAGAGTACGTAAGAGCGTGTTTACTCTATAACGTTTTCGATAGATCACTCAAATAATAATTATACTGTTGTACATTCTAGACGCGAGCCAATTAAAAAACGATCAACGTCGGGATTTAAGTATTTCAATTGTAAATAATTAACTCGGTCCTGTGCCCCAAAGCACGATTCTCTCATCGTTTTCAACAAAACTCATTTACTTTATATGTCTTACGAGTTATTGTGTTACAATTAATTTAATTTCACGTACTAAATAAACGATCGGTATGATTTTAAATGTCACCCATTAACACTATCGCATTGATAGTATTTCACCATAATTATATTATGAATATAAATACAAAGGATAATTATTATGATTAAAAAGTTCATCCGTCATACATAATAATGCACGATATTTAATTGAACAGTATTAACGTACTATAATTGACGATAATATTTTCTTGTTCACATTTCTACGAGTTTTTGGTATTCATAATTGCTATTGAATATTTATATCGCTATATGATTTTCTACGAATTTGCCAATCATATTTCGTTCGATATAACGCCAAAGGAAGCTACTAAGTACTACTTAAGTACCTACGTTATCAATTGATAGTGTATAGATTTTTCTATAAAAAGTTGTAAGTAGAACAAATAAATGGAACCGTGGTTTTTTTTTCTGAATATTTATTATTACCATCGTGGAAAAATGACAATACATTTGAACAGCAATGGTGGTTTACAATAATATTGATTAATAATAGTACAAAAATGAAAAAAATATTATAATGATTACTTCATAAACTTTGTCATAGTAGAATATGTGTCGAAACAAAAAAAATGTATAATAAATAAATGTATAATGTTTTTCTTAACGTATAATAGTATATGTACAAACATAAATGGATGGACTCGGTTACTTCTTGAGCAATCGTTCGTAAAATAATAAAAAGGTGATATAAATCTCAGTCATCGGGTGAACAACTTTAAACATAACTATACAAATGTATACACACATAGTGGTATAACAATAGCGTAAAATAAATTCTTACTTCACTACATATCGGCCGTTGGGACGGGTTCAACAACAATCGTAATAATAATAATACTAATACTAATGAATATAAATTAACATTTTGAACGCCATGGGTCCATAAATGCTAATATTATACTTTGGAAGACGTACGTTATAGATCTACTCTCACCAGTGATTACACGGGCCTTATCGTATTATAATGTTATGTTACATGTTTTTTACGTTCCGATGCACTCGATTCGGACTGACGTGCATGCACAGCAGTGTGCGAACGGTGTGGAAGATAAAAACGTTCCTTAACTAGTCTAAACGGGGTGCGATTTTATTATAATAGTACAATGTGTTATGTGCTCGAACAACAGAATATTCAAATAACGAGTGCGACAAATACTATAATGTTATAACTAAGTGTTAGTCACGTGCGTGTTAGTGCTAAAAGTGCGTGTTACATGTGCGAAGTGGTGCTGCTTATGATAACGAGTGCAAGTGATATGATGCAGTATAATATATGGTGCGTGCAATATGGTGCTTAAGGTGTACAATACAATGGTGCGAGTGCGTTAAATGGTAAATATAAAAATAAATATTAATAAAAAAACGATGAAAGACACGAGGTACGAGTGGCCGCCACGCTCGTTCGCGCGACGACGATAAATAAATAATTTTCATAGTTCGAATAGAAAAATTCTCCCCCCCCCCCTATAATCAGACGGAACGAACAGCAGGTTCAGCGGTCGACCCGCAGGTGACGCATTTTCTCGATCGCGTCCGAGGCCTCGTCGTTCGCCGTCGGTCTCGCGTTCTCCCAGTTCTCCAGCCTCTCGTTGGCCACGTTCTGCGCGCGTTCCTTGTGGTCGCGGCCGGCCACGAACAGGTTCTCCAGGCTCTTCCAATGCTTGTTCAGGTTCACCCGGGCCGACCTGGTGATGGCCCGCAGACAGTTGGCGTTGTTGTCCCGGCACGGTTTCAAAACCTGAACACGAATGGTAAACAATAATTATAAACGTTACAGCGCCAACAGGAATGCAACGCACGTATCGATCGGTCGAGATATAATGTGTCCTGTCGGCGGCAGCAGCGCGATCAATGATTTCGAAATAAATCGTTCGTGTACAACGGGGTGGGCGGACGTGCGATCGGGATCCATGGCACGTCAAAGCGGACGTTACGCAACGGACCGTGATCGCGACGGCGATGGTGGGGGGGAAGGGGTGATGAAGAAAACACGCGTGCGCCGGCGAAGGGAACACGAAGTACCGAGCGAGCGTACTCGACGAACGATTGCGCGCGGACCAACAGAAAACATTTACTACAACGACGTAAACGATGACATATTGTACAGTAGTAATGCACACGTACTTGTTTCAGACTGTCGAGCCGGTTGGCGTAGTTGGTCTTCTGCTGCGGAGCCATTTGCGGATGCTGACGGCGTAACGCTCGGCACATAACTGGTGGACGATCCGCACTAGAGTGTGCCGGAAGACGTGTGGGCAGACTAGACGACTGCGGCGGCGGCGGCGGCGGCGGCGGTGGACCAGGTGTGCGTCGTTCTCTCCCGCGGACGAGCCTCTTAGGTAGCTGCTGTCGGGTCTCGGATCGGAATGCGGTCCCGACCTCGTCCGCAGCAACCTTATATATACCACCTCGGATAGCTGCCGCCGCTGTCGCCGCCATGCCATATTGTGTGCACCGCACATGGATGTATTATACGTTTTTCGACGATATAATAACGCATAATGTATACCCAGTAGACGTATCGCGGCTATTGTCGTCCCCCGCGTATATGATTACAGGTTCCTATGGTGATGGTGGGGCCCGTATACGCCTTCTCGTCATGCCTCCCCTCGAGAGGAGAGGAAAAAAAAAGAATAACGGAAAAAAAAATCTTCGAAAACCGTACACACATACGAAAAGAAAGGAAAAAAAGTACGCAGAGATTACGCTGCGGACGCGATATATTGCGCGGGCTCTCAGGTTTTTTCCTTTATGCGGTAAACAAAGACGACACGCCCGTGCGTACGATTTACAATTCCATCCTGAACGCCGTCTTAACTCTTCCGCATAAATCAATCATTATTTAGTACACACGTGAGCGAGAAGTCGTCGCGCACACGACGCGCATAACATTACACGTCGGTACACGCGTTATTGCCATTGTTTTGTTTGGCGCATTTCCTTTCCCAACAGATCTTCAACGCACGATCTAACTAACCGGGGTCGATGTATAAATTAAAAATAATCCACGTACGCGCATGACGCTTTACGCAAAAACATAATATTCTGTCGGTTACGCCGTTGTTTTCGAACTGAACTGTAAGATCAGCGACAAAAGAAATAGAAAATATGACACCCCCCCAAATAAAATATACGCCTGTGTCTAAGTGTCGTTTCTACGAATTTATGCGAAAAGCTAATGTGGGCGGTTGATTTATTTACTTTTGATCGCACGTTCAGCCAGAATAGAAGCCCGTTAAAATCGAATCGTATAATTGCTATAAGAATCGATGCGTCCGAATCAAGGGGCAACAATTGATTTTCAAACACCTAGACGATGTCGAATGGTTGCACATTGCTCGCAGCCAATTCGCCGTGAAAATTTATGATAACACAATGTAATTATCATACTACGTGGTCTTGTGTATAGCATTACGCGGGAATTTCGTTCACTCGGTTGAACCGTTGTTATTACGTCGTTAGGCCCGTGACGGACGGCCGTGACGGTAATATTATTACAATAATAATATTATAGATCACTGGGCTTCGCGCATTCGACCAAAAACAACTGCACATGACGAAGAAGTCCGCGCGCGCGATCGACACATTGATATCCCGTGTACTTTCACGTATTTTACAGTGTACAACAATAATATACTGCACGACGATAGAGGCGCGTTAAGTGGAAAGAGGGTAAAAGGGCGGATATTTTGAGGGGACGGTAAATTTTTAGAGAAAATGTACTCCAACGAATAATTTTATAAAATTATTTATACCAAAATAGTATTAACATCATTATATTCTCTCTACCCAGACCTCAAAGTCAAAAATGTACCATGTAATATATTGGAAACCTCAGAATTAAAACTTATAATAATTTTATAGCAATGTAATATTATAGATTATATTATAAATCAGAGTATTTTATATATGACATTTATGTAATATACCATAATATGTAAACAGTTAATTATACATATATATATATATATATATGTATATATATATATAGGTATATAAATATGTATGGCAGAATGATAATAGATCTCTCATAATTGAATAAATACGATTTTATTATATAGGATACTAGGATACAGTCATTAAACTTAATAAGGAAAAGAGTTGTAGAAATAATTTTAGTCATACCAGTATTTTTACAGGTTACTTGAATTATTGCATTACTTATTATCTAACTAATAATATGTTTTAGAAAATTAAAAATATAGAAGTTTTAATATATTATTTGAGTGTTATCAGTGATTTAATTATAACTATATTACAATAATAACACATAACTACAATAGTTTCTTCTGAAGTATTACATTATATTAGGTATATATACTATACAGGTAATAGTTAATAATATATTAATTTACATATATTTACATGTAAAGAAATACAAAAATATGAATTAAGATTTATGGATGTAGGTACTTAAATTATATTAAATTCATGTGGATTATATTAACATAATGTAATTTAATTTGAAATCAAAAATATATAAATTTAATTGTACATCTAGCTAATGTGTATTCACATCAATAATGTTTGAAACGTAATAAAAATGTTAAAAAAAAAGTCGAAGAAATAAGTGTGAGCGAAGCGTGGAAATTTTTTTTTCTCTTATATACTATACTACTATACTTACATATATATTTATCAATATGCATTGGGGCGCAAAATTATTTTGCTCCCCATATATTGACATTTAATACGCTTCTGTGTGACGGTAGTGGCGGAAGCCAAGTAAAAATGAAAAAACGACCATGCAGGAGCAACAGAATTGTCCAATTCAAAACCCGTTACAATTTATGTTGATTTTCTGTTAAACTCAACAAAGTTTACTCGAGACAGCACAAAATAAGTCAAACAAAATCATTGATAAACGTTAGAACTTTATAAAATAATTCCTCGTCAAGTAAATAATTGTTATTGAAACGTAATAAAAGTACATTAATTCAATTTACTTAGCATTTATTCGTGAAATGGTAACATCTTTAAAACATTATTATTATACTATTATAATAGTGTTTTAAAGATCTTATAAATTACTGAATTTTCCATTTTTACACACGAAGTTCTTCTGATAGTTGATAGTTTGTTTTAATAAGTTTTGTGCAGGTTAACAATACATAAATGCACGTAATAATTATTCGCCGTCGCAACAACAAGAGCAATAATAATAATAATATCGCACGCGGTCCGGTGTACGGTAAAAATTCGACGTACGGACGTGCGCATTTTTATTGCGTCGCGCGCTAACAGTGCAATATACGGTACAACAACACCAACAAACAATAACATCAACAAGAACGCGAATACGATACACATAATAAAATTATCGAAACGTGTAACGTGTTAAAAATTCGAAACGACGACAAAAATATTTTTACGGGCCTATCTCGTTCGGACAAAGTTTTGTACTTGCCGGACACGTCTCGAAATACCGGGTTATCAGCTGCGAGGGAAGGAGGGAACAAACCAAATATGTACATGTTAAATTGCTCTTACGTATTATTACGTAAGCACATAATAATAGGTTCGGTCAGAATAAACCAAAACTTTCATCTGTAACAGGGGTAGCAAATTTTCCTGTCGTTACGTTCGAAACATTACATACATTTTTTTTATTTTTCTTGCACGCCATTAAACCATGAAAAATAGTATAGCCGTGTGTATAAATGTATCGATAAAAAATTTGTAGGACGGATCATACCAAAAACAAAAGCAAACGATATAACTCACGCATTCGCTACCCAATTTTAATATCTAAACTTAACTTTAAAAACAAAATACTCGTGTACAAAACTATTATAAACTCAGTTTGGTTATATAGGATCTACATTTAGGGTCTAGGTTTAGGCAATTAGTTAACAGATGCCCGTGGTATATTTTGAATTTAAATCTACGAACGACTTAATTCCTACAATTCCATCTCATCAATATTACAAAAATCTTCACAACCAACTAGAAAACCCAAAAAATCCCTGTCTCCAAAATGTTCTTCTCCACCCAAGCCCGGATTAAGGAGGGGAGGCAGTAGAGGACATGGTCACCGGCCCACAACGGATATCAAACAATAGTGGCGAATAGTAGGTTTTTTAGCTTGTATAAAAAACAAGTATATAACGAGCAGTTCTCAAGAAAATGTAGTTTTATGGTTTTGTGTTCTGAGTGTGATTTTTTGGAGGAAATTAATACCGATGATTTAATTAAAGTTTTTGCTTTCCAAAAATCAAGAAAAAGTTATTTATATAAATAACATTTTTATTTTTGCATTTAAAAAAGCACGGAATACATTTATAAATTGGAATATAATTTTTTTTTTGTATCTGAAATACATTTATGTGTGGGTTACTAATATTTTGATTATGGTGATGGACCCTAAAATTATTTGGTCCCGGGCCCTAAATATCATAATCTGAGCTTATCTTCACCAATCGATGTATTTACATATTTTACGCGCCAACGTATCGATATAAGCATTTCGAAAAACGTGTTAAGAAACAAGTTGAGAAACTCGCGTTCGGTAAAAATTCAACCATCGATCGGTTTTCAACCGGAGCAATAGCATACATCAGGCATATCAAACTCAAAGTATCAAGTGGACTAAATATAATGAACAGTTTACTACACAGGCATGTAAAAATTAAACGAAAAAAAATATATTTATATTATAATATATATAAACATATAAAGCCATCAGTAAAACTTACTCGACATAATAATGTATATAAAATATAAAATTCACTGAGAGTCTAACATAGTTGCAACATGACATTAATATTTTATTTTGTCGATTGGTAGCTGCGGGCCAGAAAATGATTAACCGCGGGCCACGTGTTTGACATGCCTGGCTTACATAGTGGACGGATAGGGAACAAGGGGCACGTGATTACTCGCCACTGATACGGTCGACACATCGTCGTGTTCCAGCGGATTTTCTACCGAAGCGGTATATTTTTATAACACTGCGCCGATAACGGTTAGATTGTGTCGTAACTGCCGTTGCAATGGGTACTCGGCACCAAGACAATATGCGCAGCGCAGCGAAACGGCAGTAGGAAACGTAGAAACGCGGTATGGCAATCCGTTAGCTAATTCCGTACTCGACACGTCTTGGGCGCGCGGATAATACCGTGAAATCATTGTTGATCCGTCGCCTTCGGTGTGTCACGCGATTCGACATTATGTCGCGTCGGGCGGCGGAAAAACGAATCCGCAACGGCGTAAGCGAGTTGGGGAAAATGAAAACGGGAAAAAAAAAAACACGCGTTGTATAACGTCACCGGAACGCCGTCCACGTGTCGCGCGTATTGTTATCGGAAACGTGTGCGTAATTATGAAACAAATCGATTATTAAATGTACGACGGTTTTTCACGCGCGTACGTCCTTGACTCGCACGTCGGCCGGCGGCACGCGAGTGACTGGTGCAACAGCGGACATTACGATAATAATAATAATAATAATAGTA